TGATACTTACGTACAAAGTTTTATTGAAATATGATGATTAGTACTTGAGATATCAGTGGAAAAGCCAAAAATTGAATAATCATTATGCAAATTAGGTAATTAATATTGCACAGATTTTTACCCAAAAATAATCAAATCTGTGCATGAGTTCAGAGCATATATTTGTCAAGTTTCATCAAAATCCAATGAGTGGTTCTTTAGATATCAGTGAAGTCATGGAACAGCTAAAAATCAGCTAATTATCATGCAAATTAGGTAATTAATATGCATGGATTTTTACCAAAAACTAGTAATCAAATCTGCGCATTGGCTCAGAGCATCTATGCACCAAGTTTCATCAAAAACCAATGTAGGGTTTTTGAGATAGCAGTGGAACAGATGGACACACACATACAGGTGTCCCATGAATTGTGGAGCCACCATTGATATTAACTTTTAATATAGTATGTTTAATTAACTTTTAATATATTTGCGATATGAACTCGATTAATAGCGTTTCTATATAGGGTTGCATTTTAATTGGAGTTTAATTAAACTCAATTACAATGTAATACAATGGAGAATTGCACTTTAATTAAGTTTAATTAAACTACCTAGAGTTGAATATCCTGTGACTGAACATAGAAATGTATCGGGGTAAGGTATGTTACAATTATATTAATATTAATATAAACTGAACGATACCTTCCCCGATACTAAACCTAAGCTTCGCAAACCTGACTTAAATTCGATTAAATATTACTATAAATTATGAAACATTGTGGAGCCCCATGTTTGGGGCTCCACTTGTACAAAGTGCTCCACTTCTACGTCTATAATTACAAGTGGCAACGGTACGTACACCCTCACACACTCTATAATACAAGTGGCAACGGTACGTACACTCACACACTACAGCACAGTTTTTCATGAAAAATAATAAAAGATATATATTCTTTAATATGTGAATTCAAACCATATACAAAAACTATTTTACACAACCACATGTAAATCTTTTTATAATTAATGTATGCTAAACAAGCAATGATTGTCATTGTAGAATATGAAATCCTTTCTTCAAACATGACATCGGTGATCAAGAGACATTGACACGTCGTTATTCTCGGATGTACGCGGAATTACTGGATTCCAGGTTAGGTTACATGGCGTCATGGCTAAATAAAGTAAATGTGGCCACCGTAACGTCAACATTTTGAAAATCGGATCATGCTATTGACTTGACAATAATCAATCATTTTTTAAAAATCGAACGTACAATCATCCGTGCGTTAAAAGTGAGCTGCCAATTGTATGTGATTAAAAAAAGATATACTAGAAACTAAAGAAGAGTTGGACGGAATCGCTACGTGGTTCAACCCCGTTCATCCGATCACACCGGGGAGGTCTCAGTTGCCGGAGGTTGTTGATATGCCGGTTGAGCTGGCGGTGGTTGTTGATATGTTGGGGGCGGCGCCTCGCTATACACAGGAGTTGGTTGAACTGCGTTTCCTTCTGCAACGTACAAAAAGAATAATTTTAATAATTACGTTATTTTTGATAAATTCAACATTATTTGTTCGATAAAAAAAACAAGAATTAATATGAACACACAAAGTCTTGAACTTACGGACGACGGTTGTAGTAGTGGCACTTTTGCTGCCTGCAGATGCAGCTGCTCCAACACAACAGCAACAACATATTACAATGCACACAATAATGAGAACAATGAGTCCAATTACACCACAGACGATACCAATGATAATACTAGTACTATAATAAAACAACGTAAATTGGTCAGTAAATGCACGATATACTTTCATACATACTTATATAGAAATATATTCACTAAAAAAATAAATATCAGTTTATAAAACATTTTCTCGCCCATTGGCTATTATGATACGTATACAGGTGAATATAACAACCCGAAGTGTCAAGTTTGCGAGAATCTACTTTGAAGTAAGTCAAATTGTGGCATTCAAGCTCAGTTCAAAACGCTAATGCAATTCAACACGACAGTACAACAATGCTGATCATTCCACATGTCAGATCTTTTACCTTCGCATAAAGAAACACACAAAAGTAATGTGAACACTAATAAGTAAATACTCACGCTAATCCTGCCGCTTCCTCCAAATCGTCCCCCCAATCGACCCAATCCTGGGCATCATAAGAAGCCTGGTCACAGCAATAGTAGTACGTAGTACCAGTGTTGCAACAGTAAGTTAATGTTAGGGTATTACACTCCTGCGCAGGCTGAGTTGTTCCCCAGGCGTCGACATAAGAATCACAAGATCCGCCATATGCTCCTAAAATTTAAAAATACAATCATAAGTTAATATGCGCTGGTGTATGGAGACTGTGAAAGATATGAGAATTACAATTTCATTTTGATGGTCATGTTACGGCTCAGAATAATAAGCAGCTTACGGCGTGACCTTGAATCTTCGGTTACCGCAACGACCTTCGTTTGGGGAATCCTTACCTATCATCACGCGTAAATTTATATATGAGATGTATCAAGTTGCCATAGCAACGGTAAAATATCTATTTTTATTGAGTCCACCACTCGTAAAATAATTGGTGGCCACTTTTTTTCAGTGCCAAAGATTTGTATATAGTAAAACATCGTCGAGAAAAAGTGAGGAATTTCATGACACGGATTGGTTAAATGGTATGACCACAATTGCCAGCGACTAATAAACGTACACGATGCAAGCATAGATAGGGAGAAAGGCTTTATAGTTAACTATATGAGATTAAGATTATTAACTGAATCTAACTGACAGGCAATCACTCATATTTCTTACACATAGAATGATTAATAAGCGTTACTAATATACGCTACATTTCCAGCGTTGGACTTGTACTATGTTTAGCGTAGGCTGCGACCATGTGTCTCAGTGGTACGTCGTTACAGACTATATTTTACAACATCCAACCATCGCGGTAACCGACCCATGAAAAATAATTTATATAAATAACTGATAGTTGAGACTGGTATCTGAAATATAGTACTTTCTCATTTACAGTATATTTGTTTTTGTTTTTTCGTAATCCCACCTAGCAACGGCACAACTTTACACACACATACCTAATACGGTGAGAGCTATTTTTAAGGTGATATTTAATTTAGAGGATAAAACCCAAAGAATACTTGCCTCCAATATAGATGAGCATAAGACAGCATAAACTGGAACCTAGCATCTTAGCAGCACTCATTTTACCTGTTGCGCCTTGTGTACCTTGCGTAGGTCTGTCAACAAACCTGAGCTCGGTGAAACCCCCAAGGTGAAAAACCCAAAGTGAAAACGAGGTTTAGCCATTGTTTTCTTTCAATACCAGTCACAATACTCCTCTCGTTCCTACTGGGCAATCACAACCAAACAAATAGTCGTTTCCATGCAAGAGTTATAGTCATGCGCATAGCCCCTAAATTTTTTCATGTAAAATTGTTCCTATATACTCTCTTGTTAGTCTTGCATATTTTATGTTCATGTAGCTTACATTCTCCTCTTTAAAACCAGGTTACTTGTTCTTATTGAGGTTTTATGAATGTACATGAAACACTTCCACTTAGATTTGGTTGGTTTACGTTCATTTTTCAAGCTAGGACGAAGCGGCATTGGCGACGAAACAGCCTGGGACGAAATGACATTAGAACGAAACTTCGTTGAGACGACAGATCATTGGGACGAATCACCATTGGCACGAGATAGCGCTGGGACAAAACGGCATTGGGACGAAACAGCGTTGGGTTGACACCGAATCTTTCTAATCAATATAAATGTATTAGACGAATACGATTCGATCTACTTTGTTAAGCTATAGACAGATACGAGACATTACACAGAGTATGACATTATTAGTATGCTAGACCAACAGGCGATGAATGTGCGACAGAATACCCGGTGTGATTGGTAACTTGCGACAATGCTGATGCGAAGTTATCCGCTGTATCTCCTGAGACCAAGGCGTAGCTCGCAGATGAAAAGATGAGCAAGCGGATACCATTGAGGTGGTTGCGAATAGATATCGTGCATGTGAATGAGTGACCGAGAAATTTAGTGTAGCAAACAGTAGTTTGTGTTGTAGCTAGAACTGGCTGAATGCAAAAGAAACGCCAGAAAAGGAGGATTTCAGAAGCAAAGGATGAGCGAAGTGAGCAAGAAGCAAACCAAAACAGTAAGCGGAGCTGACCTACCTGCAGCAGTGAAAAAGAAAAATACCACGAATAAGAAAGAATGAGTGAACTGGAACACATCCTTAGATACATATTTTCTTAAATGCCGAAATGTGGATGGACAGCTCAGAGATTGAATTCGAAGCGTGTTTGTAGTACTGAGTCACTTAAGTGTAATAATGTGTAATTGTAATAGTTTAATTCATTAAATTCAAGTTTAAGTATATTTTTTCCTCATTTGTAGTTCATTTTTTTAATTTTCGTTTATTGTCATATATCGATTTTTATCCATTCCAATGGATGTTAAGTGATTAAATATTATTATTATTATAGCATTATTATAGAGATTATTTGTATGCGGAGACATTGCCAATTATGGGACAATTGTTTGAGTGCAACAAAGACTACAAGTAGTTCCAAAGCATTAACCCATGTTGGTAATGTGACACCCCACAGCGTGAGAGGCTTGCATCTGTATAGACAACAGTGTCTTGCGTGACCTTGATTGTGTGTGTACGAACGAAACACCTTTATAGTCCAGTAGAAAGGTCCTTAGCCATAAGAGGTCTTTAAGAATATCTGAATGTTCAAAACGTGCAGAACACACAGAAATAAACAATTAGCCCAGACGAAAAAAAATTATGACAACAGACCAATGTGTTTCTGTTTTTCTGCGTGAGAACAAGTTGACCTATTCACCCAGTTAGATAGCTCTTGATGAATTTGTGAGTCTCAACTTTAGTTTATTTTTTTCTCATGATCAAAGGCCGTAGATGTTCTCGCGTTGATTGTAATGTCGGAAATGGCATGCCGAAATGGATATAGCCGGGTCTTAAAAACAGCCCAGATTTAATCCGTACATAGCATCATTTCTTAGCTGTGCGTGAACGCTACTAATAGGGGAAATAGGGAAACTACTTCCATATACTCTCATTACACAATCAACCCCTAAATAAATAAAGGTAATTGTTTTTGAGAACTGAATAACCGTGGTGACTACAACTATAAACCATTTACCACATACTATATTCGTTTTATTTCATTTCTGCTGACTATGGTGCAGTTACCCGGAGAAAACATTTACTACATTTAGGAGAAAACATTCAGGAGAAAACATACTGCACAAACAATTCATACATGAAAACTTACACCAGAAAAATGTAAACGGAACCCGTAAACATATTATGAAAGGAAATAATTCAATCTGCTGGGAAAAATTATCTCGGATCACTAATTTTATTAAACGTTAATACACGAAAGCACTACCAACTAGTCGTACTCAGTTCCATACATGACGGCATTCAATATATATACTATTGTTGTGATTTTCGTTAGTGAGTTTATGCGTATGTATGCAACATTTTTAATCACTTCCTCGGCGAGGAGTTTTAAGCGTTTTTAAAATAAAACTAAACAGTACAACAATCATTCCAAAACACTTCTTGACAGCTTTACACAATTGGAGACTGAAACCATCCAATAATACAGACAGAATGAAATACTGAGTACTCAATATTGTCATAATTTGTAAATTGATTGTATAAGTATTAGTCACCTTCATACGTCATAGCACACCACATTTTGAGGTGTATAATTCTCAAATAAACGTGGGCATGTAGGATAGTTGAGTTGGACCTAACTCGATGTTCACGCAATGCTAACTACACCAAAACTCTATTCACAATACGTTGCGTTGTTTGGGCTGTAAAGTGTCATCAAACGAATTTTGTCTCAAAGTATATCAAAACCAAATATTCACACAATTTATCAAAATACGTCCATTCACTAATAAACTGTCAACTTTTCAATACACAAAACAAACGGAAACAAATAATAAATAACGAACTTATTTGCTAGATTATGCGTTCTAAAACAGGGGTGATCGACGTATAATCTGAGTTTATTATCCGATTTAAGACACTGCGTGATTGGTTAAGGAAGAAATATTTGCAACATTTTGTCAAAATTCCCCAACGACAACTTCAGAGTCTAATTCAGAAAATCATTGTTGTCTGTGTGCCAATGCAACCGTTATTCTCCACTCCAATCTTTAAGAGCACATAATAAAACATTTTTTATTATTTTAACAACTATCTACAAACTACACGCCTTCTTGAATAAAGACGTTTTTCAATGAATTTTAAATAAAGAAAAGTTAGAACTGTTTGTAACATTATTTGGCAACTCTATCCAAAAACGCAGTGCACAGAAAGCAATGTCTCCACATGTAGTTAATCTCGATCTAGGAATAACCAGTCTGAAAATGACATAAATTCAACTCTATATCTACCAGGAAATCTCATCAAATATTGCGTAATACGGTCATACTTCCTGCAATGTGTAGTCTGGCTGCAAAATTGTGTACTTTTTGAAGTTTTGACTTTTGTGAATTTGTTATACCATAACGTTACATGATATAACCGGGCAATAAAAAATAATTTCAATAATTTATTTGGACAAATATTTCCTGATCTCAGACCCTGAGCAGTCATGAAATGACAATATTCGCTAAAATGGTTAATCATAATAACAATCATACGAAATTCAAAATTAAAAAGTGAATTTAAATTCAATACAGAGTCTATGATACAAGCGGTAACGTGTCAATAACAAAGCCTTTACGGAATCGCAAAATTGAATATTCAAAATGTCTCTATTCTAAACAACGTAAACTATTAAAATTTTGAACAGATTCTATACTTATAGAATGAACTGCGGTAATATGTATCATCTGCTCAATTGGATATCATATCTCACAACTATAAACTTATTTTTAGTCATCTGAGTGCAAACTAAATGAAGGATTATTTGAACAATTACTGGCAATTTGTCCAAACAAGCAATGATTCTTATTGATAAATACGGTTTGGCCGTAACATATTATCATCTGCTGGACTATGTCTATATGTACGGACTATATCATATTACATTGAATGTAATACACCTTGAACAGAAATGCAACGTGGTTCAACCCTAAACTGGGGAGGTCTCGATTGCTGGGGATTGTTCATATGCCGGTTGAGGTGATGGTGGTTGTTGATATGTTGGGGGTGTAGCGTTGCTATACACAGGAGTTGGTTGAACTGCATTTCCGTCTGCAAAGTACAAAAAGAACATTGTTTTGAATAATTACGATATTACATTATTACATACAGGAATTATTATGAACACACAAAGTCTTAGACTTACGGACGACGGTTGTAGTAGTGGCACTTTTTCTGCCTGCAGATGCAGCTGCTCCAACACAGCAACAACGCCATATTACAACGCACACAATAATAAGAACAGTCAGTCCAATGACACCAAAGACGATACCAATGATACTACCGGTACTGTAACACAACAACACACATTGTCAGTAAATGATTCACATGTCTCCTTATTGCTCTACACTCACTGGACAGTATTGCTCTCTGTATACAACACGTTTAGGAAATGCACTTCCTTATCCTAATAGCTACGTAGTTTTAGCTCTCTGTTCTATACGAAAAGACAATGGTTAGTCACCGACACAGTCACTTTAGAAGATCGCCATCAATAAATGACAGTCACATGTACCTAAATATAATTACACCCATTCCACTATTGTGTATGTATAGAAATAAATAATTACTCGACATAAAATTCGCAACTCAGAATTAAACATGAATCATATAAACATTAATTGGAAACAAATGTATAGCTTTATGATAAAAATGACAACAGACACTAAAACAAGGGAATTCCAAGTTTTAAATTCTTCACAATATTTTATACAAAAATCTTTTATGAGTGTCGTTATACAATATCATACTGGAATGACTTGTTATTTTGTTAGGGGCATCCAAGCAAGCTCTCTATGGTTATTTCTGATCCAGAGGAATCACTGCTAGTGAACTTCATTTGTTTGATGGTAAGGAAACATGTATACATCAATGATGGATGGTGGAAAGCCAAATTTAATGTTTTTTGTTTTATCTTTTATTTAAATCAATTTATCAGTGTAAAAATATCAATACAGGAAACAATAACAAGTAGGAACTGTACTTTAAAAAAATGGGTTCCTATAATAACATATGTGTGATAAATCTTTGTATTTAACATGGCAACTACGGGTTTGTACTTTCAGGTTTTGTTTAATTTCTGTA